CACAGAAAGGGTCAGAGGGAATTTACTTGTTTAAGGTCACGGGTGAGAGGGACGAGACGATCGAAAACGATGGAACAATAGCACTGTATGTATGTATACTGTAAACAGATTGATAATGAGTTACTGAAAAACAATTGTTTCACTGAATTGTGTTTATTATTTGTTTGAAAAATATCACCCGGTTGTAATGACTCAATCTATCTCTGAACTGGGATGCGGCCTTTCGTGAACCATAATTGGTCTCGCTATAATTTTCTCCCATTCACAGGCGTTTATTTTTCGCGATTGGGCCGTACAAGCTCGGTCAGTATGTTCTCATGTGTTCACATCTTCTGTTCACAGCTCTATTGCCAAAACCTATGCCTTCTGGCCAAATTATTTCTGGATCACAAAACTCTGTACTATGATGTGGCTCCATTCATGTTCTATGTCCTATGTGAAGTCGATCGTGAAGGCTGTCATTTGGTCGGATATTTTTCCAAGGTGGGCTTTTTAACTTGTGTCCGTTCTATAAGTACAATCAGTATCTTCACTATGGTTTGTACCTCCTTCGCAACTGTACTTAAATTTCTGTCATTCTTTTTACATTAGCAACGCCAATAGTCAGATTACCCTACTCTCAAATGAAAATCATCAGCCATATTTAGGTCTCCTACGAACACAACCCTCGGAACCAATCAGGTTGAGATATGTACTTAAGTGAACTAAGGGAGCTTAGAGAAATTGAAAATATTCTATCATCATTATAAATTAACAAACAAGTTCACCTCCTCTATCTGTTCTTGGCAATCATTTTAGACTAGTTCTGATCGCTGCTAGTAAAACATTCGCCCTGTTCGTTTCTTTCAGGAGAAAAATTCTGCGGATAATTACAATCTGGCTTGCATTCTCACATTACCTCCCTTCCAAAAACGCGGTATCGGTCGGTTTCTGATCACATTGAGTGAGTCCTTTCTTGACATTGGTTCCAAGATTATCTGTAATTGGGTATATATATATATATATATATATATAACTTTTGTTGTGGTTAGTAGCCTCTAACACATTCCCAAAACATCGAATCAAAACACTGATTCTTCAATGGACTGTCTCTGAAAGAGCTATCTGTCCAGTCGTCACCCGGTGTTACAAACAAGGTTATTGTGACAAAAATACATTTCCTGGGTACAAGTATATGAATGAACGGACAAAAGGTTACCGGATACGCATGCCTGACGAGCGGCAAGAACCGTGAAACCGG